CTCAAGGTCTTCACGCCACCACGGCGATACAGAGTATACTGTGAGTTCTGGTAACCGTAAAAATCGTGAAGAAACATTCGGCATTCAGCGTAGTTTTAGTCGCCATATTCAGAGAGTACCCTAACGTCTGATCGAGTCCACTAAAACCCCCTTGTGTGTTGATCAGTTCAGCGGTTCAGTCTATATTCAACTCATACATTTCTTCACCCAAGAAACTCAGCAGAGGCCCGATGATATATTCTATTATGACTGAACTGCAATCCAAAACAGAACAACAGTGATTTCGCGTCAATCTCGAATACTACACACAACCACGGTACATCCTATCACCACTACTACCACGTCTTCCCACATCCGAATGGTGTCTATCATGATGATTCAATGATACCAAACTGGCGAGGGAGCGGAGTACTGACACGCAGCAGATCTACTATGATGACATCCTTTGGGAACTCCGCTTACCGTCTGTTGTGCTCATGGAGTGGGATCGAACTCGGCTCCGGGACTTCTTACCAAACATTCTGCTGCTGCTACTACTCGCCGCCTCGTGATGGAGGGTATCGGAACCGCCACAAACTGACCACCCAGGACTATTCGTTAAATCTTGCTGCTTTTCACACACGAGAAGATTGTTCGGAAACACACGACTAACCCGATTAATGCAACCAGGGATCGAACCAACGACTTCTAGCATGCTACTCGGCAACTACAACAGCTAGGCCAAACAAGCCGAATCACTAAACCCGACCAGTTGCACAACTAAGCGATGAATGAACAAGAAACCTCTATCACATCACAAAACATGAGATTATCAATCTCGGGCCGCACTGCAGATGAATGGGAATATACTCGTCCCTGGACTCCTCTTTCGAGAATATGTATCATCATCACCAAACTCAACCTGGCCGATACCCTTCACATCGGTTAAACTCCACCACCTCCAGTACCTCGTGTATAGGAAACTGCTTAACCTCGCTTTTGTTCATCGAAGCTTCGACCAATTCTGCGGCCTCCATGACTATGGGTCTAAAGAAGTTAAGTTCGGAACGGGAGGAACAATTTCACACACGGAGACAGGGGCCTCGTGAGGACTCGTCACCACTCTGTAGCAGACAGCTGAGAACTCGCCGTTCACCACAGATCAGGACAACCAACGACAATGTTCAGAGTGACCAATGATCCATAATTCATGATCAGTGAACTGCTACTTGAGAAGTTGTCTAACTCGTAGAGTGGAATTTCTAGTGCTAGTTCTCGGCAAGACTGCCTCTGCCAACCACAACACAGGTGACCTGCTCGATAGCTGTATGACAGTCACTCACGTCCTGTTCCCGACTATCACTCGCCAGCTGCCGCTTACACCGTCCAAACCAACAAAATTCTATTCCCGTGCATTCGAAGAGCTCATTGCTAGGGTCTGCCGTATACTTCTAA